GGATGGATTCAAACTAAAAAGTTTTTTTCTCAGCAAAAGAAACAATCTGTGGGTGAATAGAAGGACTATATCTTGGGAGCAAATCTTTACCCCTCACAAAGATAGAGCACTAATCTCTAGGGTATATAAAGAACTCAAAAAGCTAAAAACCAAAACAACAAATAACCCAAGGACCTGAAGAGACACTTCTTAGAAAATGATGTACAATCAATCAATAAATACATGAAAAAAATGTTCATCATCACTAGCAATTAGAGAAATGCAAATCAAAAACATTCTAAGATTTCATCTCACTCCAGTCAGAATGGCAGCTATTATGCATACAAACAACAATAAGTRTTGGYGACCACATGGGGGAAAAGGTACACTMAGACACTGCTGGTGGGACTGCAAATTGGTGCAGCCAATATGAAAGCAGTATGGAGATTTCTTGGAAAATTGAGAAAGGAACCACCATTTGACCCAGCTACCCCTCTCCTCAATCTATTCCCAAAGGACTTAAAAACAGCATACTACAGGGACACAGCCACATCAATTTATATAGCAGCACAATTAACAATAGCTAATCTGTAGTATAGTTTAAGGTATGGTATTGTGATGCCTCCTGCTTYACTCTTCTTGCTAAGGATTTCTTTGCCTATTCTGGGTTGCTTATTTTTCCAAATGGATTTCATGATTGCTTTTTCTAGTTCTTTGAAGARTGTCATTGGGATTTCRATAGGAATTGCATTAATTCTGTATAATACTTTTGGTAGTATGGCCATTTTGACAATATTAATTCTGCTTATCCAGGAGGATGGGAAGTTTTCCATCTTCTGAGGTCTTCTTTGATTTCTTTCTTTACTGGTCTATAATTTTCACTGTAGAGGTCCTTCACCTTTTTGTTAGATTGATTCCCATTCACTCATTCTGAATAGACAGTCTATCAKAAATAAAATGTGAACTGGCTTTAGACCCAAGTTAGAATTTCATCTTGGCCACTTAGCTGGATGATCTTGAGCAGGTTATTTATACTTTTTGGGCTTGTTTCTGCAAGTATCACTTTATAAGGTTGCTGTAAGTGTTAGAAGAGGCAAGGAACATAAATCAGTTATGCATAGGTTTGGTCCTACATGATAGAAAACACAATATAAAAGTGTCTTACAGAGGAAAAAATTTATTTCTTTGATGCAGAGGTCTGGAAATGGGCAGTTGGGTATTGGGTCTGGTTTGGTGCTGCATGGCATTAGGAAATCAAGTCCTCTCATCTGGTTGTCATGTGTGGCTTTTATTCCTGAAGTCCTTTCATGGTCCACAATGATCGCTAGAGCCCTAGCAATTATGCTTTTGTTGGTATTGATAGTATGATAATAAGAGGAAAGAACTAAAAATTCAGATACATAAAGGCCTAAAAACAGAGCTATCCATAGAGGCCAGACAGTAAATCTGTGCTGATTCAAGTCTATCCAAGATGAGATCCCCTGCCATAGACCATGAGGCAACCAGCATATTCCATTCTTGGGACATACTAAGGAAGAGCTGGAAGCATATCTTATATTCAGCATCAAACACTTGCAAAATGTTTTCATATCTATTATTCATTTGTTCTCCACAATGCTTTGGAAAAACTTTTAATATTATTCTGATAGTACACACAAATCGAACCTTGCTGAGTAGCAGTTCCCAGAGTCTCCATCTAGTTCTTTGGATAGCTGTTGGAAGTGAAAGGTGAACAATCATGGTAGGAAATAAAGAAAATGATCCCAAACCAAAATTTCTAAAAGAAATGAAATGCAAAGATAGTGAGCTAATCCCTTGGCTTTAGCCATGTCACTTACTGGAAAAGTAAGGTGTGTGAGTATTAAATAAGGTCGGTGTGTCTGGTACCCTCCAGACTGTAARTCCCTCAAAAGTAGGGACCCATCCATCTTTTAGATTCACAGAATGTCATCCCTACTTCAGAGGGTGAGCCCCAGGATAAGATAAGTAAATTCCTCTAAAGCATCAGGAACAAGAGCTGGCACAAAGTCAGCATTGAAGAATTGTAAGCATTCAGCCGTTTTCACTATTATTTACACCAGCCTACACAACAGACCTGATGCTCCATCAAGGTCCTGGGCTCCTAAGGAGCTGAGTTTTTAGGAAACACATTTGACACACCCATCACCGGCTGCGGAGAGTTTGCCTGGGTGCATTCCGCAAGAGGAACTCCCAGACAGAGACGCTGGCAGCCCGAGCTGACCCAGGGCCTCTTGGTGCCTTTAAAACAAGGGAACGCTAGAAGAGCCAGGACTAGGCTGTGGTGCTGTCACAGTCTGGCTGCTGGGCTGGGCTAACCCGGCGAGTCAAGCCCAGGGGCTGGGAGGCGGGGCCGGCAGACCCTGACCAATCCCAGCAAGATTCAAAGGGCCAATGGGGGTGCGTCTTRCAGGGGCCGCGACCGGCGGGGGCAGGGGCGGGGCCGGAGCCGGTGCGGGGCGGGGCTGCAGCCCGTGCGGGGAYAGCCCTGGCAGAGTTCGGTGCTGCTCGGCGCGGCAGTGCGCAGGCCCCACTAGGTAGAATGTAATTTCAGATTGGACAAGTAAGTGACCCCCCCCCTCCTCAGTTCCACGTGGGCACCAGGGGCTTTTGCAAGCGYGCAGGCTGTCAGCGCGCACGTCCAGGAAGACGGTTCCCCAACCTGTCAGTGCACCGGGTGGGTGCTTCCCTCCAGTACATCCCTTGGTGCTTGCCTCCTTTGTCCACCTCTTCCGGCCACCTAAGGCTCATCCCATCCAGACCATTGGCTCTGAAAGACGCTGTAGAATTCGTTGTGTCCTCTCCTGGATGAGGCGTCTGGCCACTCAGGGGAAGGGTCGGCCTTAGCTGCATCACCGAGGCTACCCTGGAGATGACAGGAACCCAGGGTCCTTCCTCTCTGATCACTGTCCAGTGAATCGTGTTCAGTTACTCTCTTTCCCCTACAACCCCCAGTTTTAGGGTTTTTGGAATTTTCTAACTCAAGTTTGGCCACCTAGTAATTTTTAAGGCCAGTGCTGTTTGTAGCTTTGGAGCTTCCAGCTGCTGGTGAAACTGTTTGAGGTGTACTTAGTTTTAGGTAGGATAATGATGTTGGGTACAGATCTGGGAMGGAAAGGCTTAGGGGGGACCTTTTCATTTTCATTAATTTCCTTCTGTTTAAGGAATGACATTATGCATAATAGCGAATTTCCCCATTCGTTGGCTCTTTTCCATGAAAGCACTTCTTAGGTTTTCACACTCATTTCTTCCCTAAATGAAAGGGTCAGTCATGACCAAGATATGATAGGGCAGTCATCTTAGGTTAAGTTTTAAAGTGTGAGTTTGGAAGGCTTGAAGTGATTGTGCTTTTGAATTGCAAATCAGTAAGAAAGAAGAAACATCTTCTCTTAGTTTGTGGATGGATTTAAATGGGAGGTTTTGCTTTGTTTTGTTTTTGCTTGCTTTTCTCCTTTTTCCTATCCACTAAGTATTATGTCCCAATATCTTCTTAAAGATATTAGCAGTCTTCCAGTCAGATGACTGCTGCTTTCTGCCTTTTGGAAGTCTCTTGTTGATGTGGTCTTCATGCCTAGTTCTTGACCTGAAGGCCACTGGCCCGGGTGTTGGAGGGCCTAGCTGAAGAGAGCACCCTATTTGGAGGCTCAGAAGGAGGAGGATTTGGGGGACARAACAGTGAGAGTGAGAATGACTTGAAGATTGATTTTGAGGGGGAGGTGGTTGGGAGCCTCCCTGGATGGATTTGGAAGTCAAAATGTGTATTGGGAGAAGGAATAAGCTAGAGGGTGGGGCTCTGTGTGTTTCTGGATAAAGTTAAGAAATTTACTGGGAGGAGACCCGGCCTACTTCCAAGCTGTGTTAATTTTGCTGTGGGCCCTGTGTTTTTCCTGGAATTTGGTTCCCTTTCCCTAACTTTTTACTTAATTTAAATCACACTGAATTAACAGCTGATTTTTAAAAACAATTTGCAGTAACGGGTCTTGCCCTTAAACTCCCTGTCAGAGGAGTTCTAACCCCTCCCCCCAAGGGATTTGAAATCATTGCTTTGCTAGAATTTAACAAAAGAGATCCCTAACCACTCACCTGCCCACCTTTTTATGATAGAGGACACCAGCATTAACCTAGGTATTAGAGGAACTTATTCAATTTAATTCTTTCATGTGTTCCCTCCTCTTGTGGCACAAATTCTGGACCTGGCACTGTGGCATGCTCTGGGGAAGTAAAGATGAATAAAATTCAGTTTCTGCTTTCAAGCTTTAATCCAATATGGCACAGAGTTGATTAGTACAGTTGGGCAGGAAAGGGTGAAGTAGGAACTCTTGGAGGGCTCAAGGGTCAGATTAGGAAAGATCTGATGAATCATCTTAAGGGAGTTTGAAATATATTTGCAGGACAATCAGTGACACACTCAGATTTATGTTTTAGAAAGCTAGTTCTGGCTGCAGGGTAGAGAATGAATTATAGTGGTGAGGACTGGAGAGAGGATACTGTAGTACAGGTGAGAGATGTATTAGGATATGAGTTATGGGAATGGAGAAAGTTAGGAAGTCAGAAAGTTTGGGAATTAATGTCTGATTGAATTTAAAAGATGAAGAAGGATTGTATTAGTCAAGGTACCACCAGCAAGAGAAAAGACATTCTCAACTATATTTTGTAACAGCTTTATTGAGGAATAATTAACATACAATCACAAAAAGTATCTAATTTGAGAAGTTTTGTYATAGGTATTTATCTATGAGACCATCATCACAATCAACCTAAAGAACAAATCTAATACACCCAAATATTTATTTTGCCCTTTGTTATCCCTTTCCATATAATTTTTGGATTAGGTTTATATTAAATCATATTAAAAATGAGATGTTTTCTTTTAATTGAATTTTTGTAGGTCTTTATGTATTCTTATTTTAAGTTCTTTATCATGTATATGATTTGCAAATAATTTCTCCCTTTTTGATGTTTATCTTTGCATTCTTATAACAGTGTCTTTTTTGAGAGCAGAAGTTTTTTTTTTAAATTTTAAATTAGAAATTGAACCCAGGGGTACTTAACCACTGAGCCACATCCCCCTTTTTAATTTTTTTGAGACAGGGTCTCACTAAGTTTCTTAGGGCCTTGATAAGTTGCTGAGGCTGGCCTGGAACTTGCAATCCTCCTGCCTCAGCCTCCCAAGTAAACTCTGCTGGGGTTACCAGGCATGTATCAGCATACCATGGGAGCAGAGTTTTTAATTGGTATGAAGTCTAATTTATCAATTTGGAATTTTGGTGAAGTTTTATCAGTTTAATTTCCTATGGATCATGCTTTTGGTGTTGTATRTAAGAAATGTTTGCCTAACCTGAGGTTTCAGTTATTTTCTTCTGTTTTTGGTTTTATATTAAATCTGTGATTCATTTTAAGTTAATTTTTCTGATTAGCATTAAATATGGAATGAAGTGTTTTGCACATGGATAACAATTATGCCATCATCACTTCTCAAATGCCTACCTTTTTACATTCAGTTGTCTTTGCATTTTTGTTCGAAGATCAATTTAGCATATATATATATATATATATTCACACATATGCATATATATACATATATATTAATACAGGCTTATTTCTGCATGTTTTCTTTGGTTCCATTGATCTCTGTCTATTATAATGTCAAGACCATATAGTCTTCATGGATATAGCTTTGTAGTAAGTATTGAAATTATTCAGTAAATTCTTTAATTTATTTTTTTCAGTTGATTTGGTTATTCTAGGTCCTTTTATTTTTTAAAAAACACTCATAATAAAAGCCTGTTTATATTTTAATTGAAATTTCATTGAATTTATATTTAATATGAGGTAGAATTTGTCTTAAATATTGAGTCTTCAGACCCATGGACACAATATATCTATTTCTTGAAGTCTTACTTAATTTCTCTTGATAAAGTTTCATAGCTCTAAAGTAGATGAGTCTTGCACATTTTGTCAGATTATCTGTAGGTATTTCATATTTTTAATATATATTATCTCTTAAATTTTCAATTTCCAGTTGTTTGTTGTTACTTGTGTATTGATCATGTATCCTGTAATCTTGTGAAACTACTTATTAGTTCCAATAGCTCTTTTGTAAATACCATCAGATTTTCTCTGTTGGCAATTGTGTCATCTGTAAATAAAAACAGTGTTACTTCCTTCCAATGGGGGTGCTATTTATTTATTTATCTGTCTTGCTATGKGCTCAGGCTTGGACCTGTGCTTTGCATTGAAATGATGAAAGCAGACATTTATTATTGTCCCTTATTTTAGGGAGAGGCATTCATTTTTTTGTCTTTAAGTGTTTTTTTTTTTTTTTGTATGATGTTTGTTATATGTTCTTGGTAGTACTTTATCAGGTTTAGGAAGTTTCATTCTATTCCTTTTTTATTAGTTTATTTATTTTAATTAGGTATATATGACAACAGAATGCATTTTGATTCATTGTACACAATTGCAGCCCATCTTTTCATTTCTCTGGTTATATCAGATATAGCATCACACGATATGTGCAGTCATACATGTACTTAAGTTAATGATGTCCATCTCATTCCACCATCTTTCCTGCCCCCCATGCATCCCCCCTTGCCCAATCAAAGTTCCTCCATTTTTCCCATGTTTCCTTCTTCCCCCCATTGATCAGAGAGAACATTGAATCTTTGGTTTTTTGGGATTGGCTTACTTCACTTAGCATGATAGTCTCCAGCTCCATCCATTTACCTGAAAATGCCATAATTTTGTTCTCTTTTAATGCGGAATAATATTCCATTATGTATATATACCACAGTTTCTTTATCCATTCATTTATTGAAGGGCATCTAGGTTGCTTCCCCAGTTTAGCTATTGTGAATTGAGCTGCTATGAACATTGATGTGGTTGCGTTATTATAGTATGTTAGTTTTAAGTCCTTTGGGTATAGTCGGAGGAGTGGGATAGCTGGGTCAAATGRTGGTTCCATTCCAAGTCATTCTATTCTTACATACTGAGAACTGTTTATGGTGAATTGTATTTATTTATTTTTTGAATGTTCAACTAACCCTGAATTTTTTAGATAAAAAAATTTGATCAAATCATATTATCCTTTTACTATATACTTGGATTCAATCTGCTAAGCTTTTAAGAATTTTAACATCTTTGTTAATGGTAAATATCGATTTGTAGTTTTCTTTCCTTGTATTTTCTAAGTTTTGTTCTTTAGGTACTTCTGCTCAGCTTGAGTTGTAAGATATTTCTTCCTCTTTGATTTTCTGGAGAGGCTGAAGTAAATTTGCTATTATTTTTCCTCAAAGGTTCAGTAGAATTCACTAGTAAAACCATCTGAGCCCTGAGGGTTTTTTTGTTTTTTAGGGCGTTGGTTTGAGTACAAAGTCATTTGATTTAGTAGTTACCCAACAGTTCAAGTTATCTGTTTATCCCCCTCTCCCTGGCCTTATTGAGGTATGATAAACAAAAATTGTACATATTCAAGGTATGCAACATGATTTTATATGTGTGTACATTGTGAAATGATTACTATAATCAAGCTAGTGAACATGGTCATCTCACACAGCTCTTCCT